TTTTCCGTCGACCGTGTATTTATATGATTTATAAATGTATACAAAATCATTCATTAATGACACCTATTAATAAACGATTTTCTATTAATAAACGATTTTAAGAAAGTCCGACCGAACTAAATAGTAGTCAATTTAATAAATATTCTCCAATGAAATTTGTAATACCGACCCAACCGACCACTATATCTATTCGGTAAGACTACAAAAATAAATTATGACACATTAAAAGTGAGGTTATTTTGCCAGTGACAGAATTGGGAGATTTTTCAACGATGGATTTTCTCTATTTTGTTGAAAAGACGGTCAACGGAAAAATATTGTAACTAACTCGTATATTAAAATGCGATTAATTATCTCAATAATATCTCGATAATTAATCGCCTTCATTAATAGACTTGTTGGTTAAATACCTATTATTACTTACATAGTGTGTTATTACATAAATTTACATTTAAAATATTTTGTCTACAACTATTGAATTATCTATTCATTATACATTTGATTTTTGACGTAATGCGTGTCATTACCCATGACTGACAAAGTGTTGAATAATGAAGCCATTATTCCACAGTTCTGACACGGCCTACTAATCAAAAAATAAAATATTTACAGAAATGACAGCTTTCTTANGCAACAAATATGTAATTCGTTAAAATCGTATTTATCTAAAAATGTATTAGTATTTTAACCTCAACTATTTAGTTACTGAAAATGTTACTAAAAATCAGGAAAACCCCTAAATAATACCAACAGAAACCCTAAAAAATTTACATTGACAAGTATTATAGAAAAAAAAACGAACTATACATAAAACTTTGATGAGATAAAAATATAATTTTAATCACATATACTAGAGTGAAAATGACGACGATTCATTTAAAAAAAAATTAGTAAAAGTCTTCAAATTTCAAAGATACAGGTTTCAAAGTTAGGAAATTTTAACACATTTTTTCAAATATCTTAAACACTATTTACAGTAGAACGCTGAAATTTGGTACAGTATAATTGAATGTAATGTAAAATCGTTAGGCAATTTATGATTTGGATCGGTCCGCGGGAACAATGGCTATACAGATGTTCCTAAAGTTTGTTTGCTCAGAACTTTTTTATTCTATCATAACCCTACATTTATTTTTACAGTTTCTAATAGTAAATTTAGTTTAGAAACTTTTATTACTGTTAGATAATATTGATAAAAATCACCGTTTTCGTGTTAAATGCAAAAATGTTGGGTTCCAATTTCAATAATAGCACTAAAAAAAAAAGAAATCTAAGTTTTTGAACATTTCCCTTATGCCCGTTTGCACCGTAATACATAAGCATTGCTTAAAGGCTAAGTAATGCTTAAGTAGTGAACTTGCGTTGCACCGTCAAGTAACCCGTTCTCAAAATCAATAAGACGTTCTCAAATATAAGTATTTGAAATCCAGTGCTTAAGTTGTTCTCAAGTGCATACGTCAAATAGACATAACCGCACATAACTTATACGTTAAAAAAAGTAATAAAATAAAATAATGGATCTGCAAATTTAGATGTTTTGGAAATAATTGATTTTGGTTTTCCAAAATTAATATACACAAGATCCAATTATTTCCACGAAATGGACGAATATAATTTTTTTATAAGATTTCGTCTAACAAAACAAAGTTGTTTGTATGTTCTACGACAAATACAAGAAATTATAGAATTTCCGTCTAATAAGTAAGTAGTATACATTATTTTAAATTATACTTTTATAGGCTGAATTTAGATTATTTTAATACTACTTATTTTGTACAGAAACAACTGTGTGTCTCCAATGAACCAGTTGCTAACAACCCTTAGATTTTACGCTTCTGCTAGCCATTTAACTATTGTAGCTGATTTTACCGGGATGCATACTTCAACAGCTAGTAGAATTATATCGCGGGTATCGCGTGCAATTGCTATGCTGAGACCGCAATACATAAAAATGCCAAGTAATACCGAAGAAATTCTAGCACTACAAAACCAGTTTTATGGAATAGCTGCATTTCCCAGGATTATAGGTGCCATTGATTGCACGCACATAAAAATTCAGTCTCCTGGTGGCGAAGATGCAAAAGTGAAAACTGCAGAAACTTTTCTGTTAATGTACAAGTTATTGTAAATGCAAATTTGGAAGCCATGGATATTGTGGCAAGATGGCCAGGATCTGTTCACGATTCAACTATATTTAATAATAGTCGGATTAGAGCACGGTTAGAAAACGGAGATTTCCAAAATGGCATATTATTAGGTATGATGTTATTGATACTTAACGTAAAATAGTACATATTACTATTTGATTACAAATGATTAATGATACGGTTCTTTTAGGCGACAGCGGATATCCTCTGCGAGAGTATTTTCTAACTCCATTGGCAGAGTGTAGAACAAGACCAGAAGAACTGTATAATGAAGCTCATATAAGAACTCGAAATACAGTGGAACGGTTCTTTGGAAATTGGAAACGTCGATTTCCTGTCCTTGCATATGGCCTACGTTTGAAAATTTCCACTGTGATGGAGGTTATTGTAGCAACGGCAGTTCTACAAAATATTACCAGAACAGTTATGGCCGAAGAAAATGTTGCTGTTTTGCCACATGACATTAATGAAGCAGATTTAAATGTTCAAATTGAGGCTGGCCGTGTGGAGATGAATAATATCGGCAATAATGGGATACATTATTTAAGAGATAATTTAATAAATAACTACTTTAATGATTTATAAAACAATTTATTATAAAAATAACTATTTTTCATTACTTAACCTATCTAGTTTTTTTTTATTAATTAATCTAGTTTTTTATTTTCTTATTTTCCACTATTTCTTTGTACTTGTATATTAAACTATACAACACCTGTTTTTCATTAGGTGAAAAATTTGAGGTGCGTTTTATCTTTCTCTAAAATATGTTTATGTAAATGAAATTTCTAAATATTAATTTATCTTTAAAAGGTTCACCTCTTGCGACATTTTTTATAAACGTCCTTATAACTCACAATGAGTTATATTGTTCACACTCTTCGAATATTCGCGAAGTTGGGAATGATACGAATAGTAGAAATGTTATTTACATGGTATATGTCAAATGTCAACTGACATTAACTTGACAACACGAAAAACCCTAAAAAATTACTAAAATTTATAAAAATAACTAAATTTTATGGCGTTGTTGCCAAATAACCGATACTTAAACGTTACTTAGTTGAGCATTGTATATGTTGTGTCGGTGCAATAGACATAAAATTTAAGTTCTTCTTAACTATAAGAACTGCTTAACTAAGTTATGCTCAACTATGTAAACGGTGCAACCGGGCATGAGNGGTGTACTTTTTTTATTATTCCTGTTAGTGTTGATTTTTAATTTATTGTTTTTGAGTTCTTTTATTAAACCAACTAAAACAAATTAAAAATGTGATTTAGCTAAATCTACACTTGGATATGTTGCATACATAATAGTTATGACAGCTCAGTTCGATTTTCACTTGTCATTGCCAATTCAGATTATTTATTTATTTATTATTAATTATTATTATTATTATTATTTATTATTAAAACGGTGGGTTTTATCAATATTCTCTAAGAGCGATAAAAGTTTCTAAACTAAATTTGCTATTAGAAACTGTAAAATTAAATGTAGGGTTAGGATAGAATAAAAAAGTTCTTGAGCAAACAAACTTTAGGAACAACCTGTATAGCATTTCTATTATTAGTAATTAGTCTTATTAAGTAGGTGAATTGTTGTTTAATTTATTTGGATTTGATTTTAAACGGGCGACTTTAAGATACTATAGAGTAGTTTAGCTATAATGTGTGCCATGTAATACCCTTAACTGCCTTGAATATAGTACAATAGCGTAGCTGGAAGTACTTAAGGTTAGTTAAGGAAATCACGTAGTTCCCTTGTATACCACGACGAAAACTTGAATTATTCAGGACCAATTATGCCCTAAGATAATTTATAATAGCGCCCACGGCCGCCGTACGATCGTTTAGTATTCATACTATTCGAACACTTCCGAACAATCATATCGATATTGTTTGAATTGCCACAATCTGATTGCTACGCCTAACCTCTATTTCCGACATCTAAACTACCCTTGAGGGTAATATACAATCCCGCGTGTGTAAAATGTTACGTTACCGTCACGTTCTCGCAACGATGCTAGATTTTGCTATGATACGTTACCGTCTTCTGATCTGTTGACGAATTGATAAACTGCTTTGAATCCACTGTGTTCGACAGTATCATCAGATTTGAAATGGAGCCACAGGTGTCTGTCTGATGAAAAGATCATTGGTGGAAATTGTGTTCCACAGTATGGACCACCAATGGGTTTATTAAAACCATGGGCGCCATCGTGAATTTCAAGAAAATCGTTTTTACATTGATCCCCTTCTAAGTTGAATTGCTCTCTGAAGTCTAAATGGATCACTTGACCGGATGGTGCTAAAAAATAAAAGATATAAAAAATCAACATTGTTTTAAAATCGAAAATTTGATTGAATTTATTCTAAACATCCAAAAAAAAAGAATCGATCTTTTTTTTCCGGAAGTTTAAAGTCGTAGGTCCCGTCATAACATGGTAATAACTTTAAAATACGCTAAACGAGGCGAGGTCATTCCGTGTGCCATCGCGGCGCTATTTACGCGCAGGATTATCTCGAAAACATTTCGGCGGCGGCGCCGGGACAGATTTATAGCAGTTCGTGGTCGAAAAATGGTCTATCCGCCAGAACGAAACCATAAAAAACGCACTTCATGCGCGACTTCTGCGAGCGTAGCATAAATCCAGCTTTTGTAGGACATGCGTCGGCCATGTGAGTTTTGACGCACATCCGATATTTATTCACGAAACAATCGATCGAAAAAATTTCCAAAGTCCAACTTCCGGGAAGCTTTTGAACGCCGCTTTTAAAATATTCCAACCGAAAAGAGATCTTTTCGAAAATCCTTTACTTTTTTGATAGCTTTCAGTTCTCTCTTTGTTTATATTTATTTATTTATTTCCAAAATAAACAGGGTTTCCCCTAATTACAGATTTCGGAATTACTACATAATAATTAAACAAAATTGAACTAAATATTAAACTAAATTAAATATTAAACTAAGCCGTACTCGATTTGTAAGCAAACAATAAAAAAGCAAATAAGTAAAAAGAAACAAAATGATACAAAATAAAACAATAACGTAAAACAGAACAGAGGAATGGAACAGAATGCGCGAAGAATTATGAACTATAATAAGATTCTATAAGATCAGCCACTGCACTGGGCGGTTGCAACGTTCATCACAGACATCAAATTCTTTTTTACTGTTTTTACATCAACGCCAAATAGTGGGATGAAGGAAGCCATAGATAGTTTGTTATATAACAAGAGAATTCTAATAAAAGGAGAATTTCTTCTGAGTTCAGTGGTAAAGCGGGGAATGTAAAATAGATTTTTCAATCGTCCACAATATGCCGGCACGTAAAAACCAATCTTTTCCAAGATTAAAGGTGCATCTATTTTATTGTTTAATATTTTACATAGAAAACAAAGCGATATGATTTTCCTTCTAATAGATAACTTAGTTATATCAAATAATGTACGCGCAAATTCGTACGATCTGAACCCGATAAAGGCATTAAATTGTTTGTAATAAGTATACCGAATAAACTTATTTTGAATAATTTCGATTAAGTTTGAATAAAGGTCTGATCCAGGATCCCATACAATTACCGCGTATTCTAATTTAGATCGCACCAATGAATTGAATAATAATTTTAACGTCTCCACATTTGAAAAACTATAAGCATTTCTTATAATAAATCCTAAGAGTCGAAGTGCTGCGGAAGTTATGGTTTTCACGTGCTCGGCAAAGCATAAATTGTTGGTAAAAATAATACCTAGGTCCCTCTTTCTGACAACTGATTTCAAATTTATATTATCTATTCTGTACACAAATTCTATCGGCTTCCTCCCCAAAAAATATGTCATTGATTCACATTTGGCCACGTTAAAGTGAAGCTTGTTCAGCCGACACCAATCGCATACATTATCCAGATCAGACTGTAAGGACTGGCAGTCACTTATATCACGAACAGATGTGAATATTTTCAGATCGTCCGCAAAGAGTAAGCATCTAGATGGATTAATTAGCAAAGGTAAATCATTTATGAATAATAGAAACAATAAAGGTCCCAGATTGCTTCCCTGCGGAACCCCTGAATCTATCCCCAACACATCTGAGAGTGTGTTTTTATATGTGACATAGTAATTCCTATTGGATAAGTACGATACAAAGAAATTAAGAGTTGGATAAGAGAAACCATAAAGCGCCAGCTTGCGTAGAAGGGTATCGTGATCGACCTTATCAAACGCCTTTGCAAAATCAGTATATATAACGTCAACTTGACTTTTTGTATCTAACGCTCTGGACACATAGTCAGAAAAGATACACAAATTGGTCTCGACAGAGCGGTTAGGAATGAATCCGTGTTGGTCAATATGTAACGCAATTTTAACATGATTAAATATTCTGTGATAAATTATTTGCTCGAAAACTTTTGCGAAACAAGAAATTACCGAAATAGGTCTGTAATTCTTTAAATCGCCCGTGTGGCCTGATTTATGAATTGGCGTAACCCTTGCAAGTTTCCATTGATTTGGAAATGTATTTGTTGAAATTGATAAGTTAAAGATGATATATAAGGGTGTTAGAAACGATTCTTTGCAGCCTTTAATAATATGCGAGGGAACTCCGTCCGGCCCCTCTGTACGTTTTGATTTTAGCTTAATTATAGCATCATCAATCTCCTTCATTGAGATAGGTTGTAGACTAAATAAATTTAAAGCACTATTACTGATAATTTCGTCATAGAAAGAAAGAGAATAATTCGATGTAGGCCCATACACAGATTTAAAATAATCCGCAAAAGCAGAGCTGACGTCTTTAGCAGATGAGATATCCCCGTTAAGTTGATTCTGGCTTCGATTGCAACTATCTCTTTTGTTAGAAACATAGTTCCAGAATGCCTTTGGGTCTGCCTTAATATTGTTTTCCACACTTCGTGTATAATTGTCGTATGCTACCCCAATATTGCGCTTGACCCCGGCCCTAATTTCCTTATATTTATTTAAATGGTGATCTGACTTGTTTTTGCGCTTAAGAAGAGTGGTTTTCGTTCTAATATCTTTTATTATATCCCGGCTAAACCACACTGGGTATTTATTAACTCCGATTTGTTTTACCGGAACGCAAACAGCCAGAATCTCGTACAATATGCCATAGAACGCGGCAACTGCATTATCAACGTTATCATAGATGCTTAAAAAAGAAAAATCGGTGCTGTATAGTCGGTGATGTAAAAGCAAGAAATTCGAGTTCTTATAATCATTAATGTAATGCGCTGGTACCGTTACCTTTTTACAAGATTTAAAAGAAAATTTAATTTTCAAGGAAGCACAAAACTGGCTAAAATCAAATCTAAGGTTCTTCCATGCATATTAATTACATTATTGTAAGACTTACAATTACATATATCAAGAAGGTCACCAATTTTGTTATATTTGTATTATTGACGGAATAAAAATCAAAGCCAGACTCATTCACCAGAGGTAAGTTAAAGTCTCCAAGAACTACCAATTCAGCGTTATGCGACATATGTAAATTGCTCATCAGCTCGACAAACTCGCGATACACCTCCAGCCCGCTAGACGGCTTTATATAAACAACCACTATAATTACCATTACATTAAATAAATGTGTCTTAACGGCAACAACCTCCAAACCCGTGTCCAACGGAACCAATGATGACAACAATTTCGAATTGATAGCAACCAAAACGCCGCCGCCCAGCGAACCGTGCCTGCGGTCAGTTCTAAACACATTATACCGCGAATCGAATAACTCGGTATTATGGATGGACTCATTTAACCAGACAAATTATGGAAAAATTATGACCAAGCACATTCAATAAAAAAGTAATTGTTTTTGTTCTCAACCCTCGCACATTCTGATAATAAATTGAACATTGTTTCATCAAGGCAAAATTACGCAATAAAGAAATCAAATTTATTTAAATGTATTTATATAAAATAATAAACTAAATTAGCAAAACTCAAAGAATAGTATAAACAAATCGCGATTCTCTAGTCGCCGCATCATAAAGAATAATTAAAGAAACAATACCAAAACGAAAGGATAAAATAAAAACAGAAAAAAAAAACAAAGAAAAAAAAAAGCAAGAAATACATCCACATCCACATCTACATTCATTAGATCATCTGCATCGTGAATAATCTTTTTCTTATCCTTGACCAGGGAGATGTAAATACGCCCATCAAATGTCCAGGTGTTCGATATTCCTACCTTCTCCCTAGCGATACTGAATAGATCCGTCCTCTTCTTAGTAAGAGACTCCGTAATTAAATATTGGGAACCCTTTAGTAGACGTTTGTTGGACCAAATAATATTTCTAGTAGCATACGAACAAAATTTAATAATTAGTGGCCTAGGTTTAAGTAGAGTTTGTTGAGAGGACTTTTTATTTTTGAGAGGTTTCCGTTTGAGGCCGATACGGTGTACTCTATCCACCAAAGTTGAATCAAACTTAAAACCAGGTATCATGAAATTGACATTGAAAAACCTTATCAAAAGCGCCATCGGATCTTCCTTATCCTCTTCCTCCAATCCATGAATCAACAAGCAGTTCCGTCTGGAATATTGTTCCAGCTCATCCATTCTGCCATCCACCTCCAATAATTTCGTTTTAATCTCTGCAAACATCTCATATATTTGGACCTTGAATAGCGCAAATTCGGACGCCAGTTGATTTAACGTGCCGACGTTGGAAGACGGCTGTTGAGAGAGTGCTTCTTGTAGTTTCGCTTCAAAGGCACCAACGTGTTTACTTAGAAGATTGTCTAATGTTTTTACTGTTCCCGAAGAACCCATAATAAACGAAATTTGCGACAATTATATTCAAACGGGATAAATATTTACACGGAAAACCGGTCCCGCACGTGTCAACAAACACGGTTACGGCCACAAAATAAGAATCCCAAATTCGGAACGAACCGCACAGTTAAAGTTGCTAAACATGTACTTAATAACACAATAAGGTTAACTCGAATCGAACAAGTAGTAATCGATATCACAAAGAATGGTTTAAAAATGTTATACAAATTTGTTTCCGTGAAATAACACAAATATTAATTAACTCGTGCAGCGAAGATCACGACCCGTCTTACTCAGTTACGGCCATCTTTTAGTTTTTATATTTGTAACTTTTTAATCAAAAAACCGATATTTTTAACGTCAAACACCTTATTTTTATTAAAACGTTCGTTATGAATTCTTCTTCAATTAATTAGTTCAGCAACTTGAGTAGATTGACTTCAAAGCATTATCGTTCGTATAGATCGGCGCATTCCTTGTCGGTTAATTTAACGTGTTCGCGGCGT